GATAAACAATCTAGGTATTTACCATTCTCCGTAATATAAATGATGGGATTATTATATAATTTCTTTATCTGAACCAGTAGCTTATAAATTCCCCATGGAACAATGTACAACCAATCTGAACCGGCCTGACATCAACATGAAATAATAAAATTTTATTAATTTAATCCATTGTGGATTTAAAACACGATAATCGATTAACGTAAATTATTTTAATCGCTCTAACATATTAATATATGTTGCTCTATTGTATCCCATTTATTTTCCATTTTCATTCTAAAAAGTCCAAGTTAAAAGGCGTACCTTTGGACCAATAGGTATCCCCTCACGTTCATCTGAAAAGTATTGAGAGAATGAGTGCCATGTGATATGATAAATTTACAGCTACAAAAGAACAAGTTTCATATACTTACGTGATTCTGTGACATCCCTATCATTTTCGTAACTTATGTGCGTACCAGGTTTGCTAGGTTTGCTAGCATAAGTACTAGTGTAATAATTTATGCCTAAAAAATCATATGATCCTTTCACCAACTTTACTTGTTCTGGTGTAAATGTGGGAAGACGATCTCCAACTCGTTTTCTCATAACCGGTGGGTAATCACCAGTTACTATTGGTGCTACGAACCTGAAAAAATGGAGGGAAGACAATTTTATTTTAATAAATAAGCACAAAATTGAAAGAAAAATAAGAGAGAACATGTTTGTATTTATATACAAATCAAACTATTAATTTGAAAATAGAGTTTATTCTTTAAGAATTTTTGGAGGCCAATAAAAAATTGGAACCAGAATGCAAAAATGAGTGGAAGAGGAGCAGTCGGAAAGCATGAGAACAAAGAAAATAAATTCAATCTCGTATCTTCAGGCAGAATATCGAGACTCACTGAAACATTATTAAATTAAAAATATAAAAAGTTACCATCCCAACATAAAATCGAGGCCCCTTGAAGCAGCCTCTATATCTTCTGGGGTCTCAGTGAGTGGCTCAAACCACTCAGCAACATTTGTTACTCCTATCTTGCCTCCTTGATACACCTACAAATATGTTTGCATAAACTACGAAATGTGAAATTTTCAAATTGTATAGTCTCTTTAATGTTATTAATTATAAATGGCAAACGTTACCTGATATTTCTGCTTGTAAATATCAACTGCTGCTGCATGAGAAAGGATCAAATGGTGTGCCACAATATATGGTTCAGTGCCCGGATTCCCATTGGAGCAATGGGTTAAAGCCCCAGGTTTACACCTATGACGACGGATAGTCTTTACATGCTCTGCTTGAGTTGGGCCTCGACCAGGTGGAAAAGTACCCAACGCATATCCTTGAAGAGTAAAGGACCATGGTTCATTCTGTGTGATCCAATATTTTACCCGATCACCAAATTCCCAAAAGCAAAGCTCCGCAAACTCGGAAAAATCTTTCCTATACATATAAGATTCACAGTGCTTTTCAAGCGATAATTTTTAAGGAGCAAATTCAATTTGTGTATAAGAGCTTGACATGATTATACAAATATAAGAAGGTTATTTATTCCGAGAGGAATTAAATATCTTAGCTTCCTCTTAATTAGCATTATTTTCTTATTAATATGTTTTTGCCAATATCCAGAGAAAAGGTGCCATTGTTCTGACACATTTAGTTACTTACACAATTCGCGGGCTTAAGAAACCACCATACTCATCTTCCAAACATTGGGGAACATCCCAGTGGAAGATAGTCACACAAGGCTCAATGCCTGCACAAAAGTAAATTTAAGAATCGAAGAGGTTAGATTTTTATCTTTATAAAAAGAAGCAAACAACAATTGTTGAGAAGAAAACAGAAAAAATTGAAGTGGAGTCTAATTAACCTTCAACAAGGAGTGAGTCTATAAGGTCATTATAATATTTAATTCCTTCCTTGTTTATGCCAGCAGACAATCTTCCCCCTAAAGTATAAATAAATGAAAAAAATAAAATTAGATAAACTTTCATCTGATTTTCCTTTCTAACAAATGATGCATGAATTAAGCCATATTTTCACGTTTTCTTATACCTGGAAGTACTCTGGTCCATGCAATTGAAAATCTATAAGAATCTAAGCCCAATTTCTTTAATAAAGCCACATCATCCTGCAACATTGAAAATGAGTACATGTTGTTCCACTAACTAGGAATTTTCTTCTAAGTTATCTTAAAAATTGTGCTATAACGATGCAATTAAGGATTTACCTTCCACATATTATACTGATCGATAGCAACACACCCATTAGTGCCACCTTCGATTTTACCTGCCACTCCAATTAACAGGCTCAGAATTGACATGTAACACAAAAGTACATATATATGTGTATATAAAGCGTAAAAATATATTAGTGTATATATGAATGTATGATCAAGATTAGAGAGAGGAGACCAGGCGTTTTCAGTGTGAAGATATCCCAGTTGCTTTTGCCTTTACCGCCTGTGGCCCAAGCACCTTCAACCTGAATTACATTGTAAATAAAACAAATCAACCAAAACAGAACCAAGTTGCATATTTTTTTATTTTTATTTTTTTTCCTTGTCACGATTTTAGCGACATACACACCTGATAAGCAGATGTTGCAGAACCAAAGACAAAATCCTTGGGGAAATCAGAGCGCTGGATCTTGGCCTGGCTGTATCTTCCGGCCTGACCACTGCCGGGATAATCTAAAAGTGTCAGTGCATTTGCGCCACCGATGGTCATATGACTGTTTTGGTAATCCATTGCTACAGAAAGTAATGAGAACTTAATTTGAAGTAGTTTAAAACTTGAATGCTGTAAGAGACTCAGACTGAATCGGGTATTTATAGGGGATTATATGTGCAAGAAGACAGTGAATCCTATGTTTGTATTTCAGAATTGACAGGAAAACGCGAAACACGTGAACTGAATTTTTTTTAAAATTTTTATTTATTTATTATTTATTTTGATTTGTAAACATATGATATTGTATAATATATAGTGTCCATTTTTTTTTAAAGTTCGAAAATTCCACAAAAACGTAATGCAAAGGATTTGATTTTTTTCAATCACTATATGTAGATTGTTTTTATTTATAGAGAAATATAAACCAACAAAATATGAACTATAAATACTTAAAAAGGAGGGCTAATGATAAAATAAAACTAAACTTAACTTGGAGAAGGAAGTATAAATTACGCTTAAATTTCCCTATCTATGTCATTCATCATCATAATTACATTTTTAACATATATATTATGGATAATTGTGCAGTCCAAATTAAGCCTCTCTTTGATTTTGCTAAAATCAGATTTTTATATATTTTGATTAAACTGATGAAATGTGTTGGCTGAAAAATGGATAAAGTTGTGATTCTATAAAGTGCATGATTTGTAAGTGTTATACCCTAAATTCAATTGACTTTGGATATAAACACTTTTTAATATATAGTTGATGCGATTTATGGTAGATCTATTATTTAATTAATAAATATTCTAGTGAATTAAATAATGGAGTCCGTAAATTCAAATCTTAGTAATTTGTTAATTATAAAGAGTTGTGATTGTGAGATACAAATTACATATGATTAAATCTTAAATAATTCGTGGTCGTCGGTAATAACAATATACAGATATCGTTATTACGGATAGAGCATCACATGTGACATTTCTTACTTGTGACGTAATTAGCTGATCTCACAAACTAAAGCGTAATGACACTTGAATGAATACATGGATATTTTGTTATAGAACAAAATATTGGAGACCAACCGAGAGATTCCACATGGATAACTATCTAAATGTCAGTGGTTAATTTCTAACGTTTGGTAGTGGGATTGGTCATTTGACTGAGGTCGTTATAGTGCTTTATATGAGGACAGTCATGCTTTGATGGTGTTAGATGTTGCTCTGCAAAGGGCCGCTAATACGACATTGTTCGAATATGTCAAGGATCGTATGAGGGTTGTGAATGACCAATAGAAAATTCGTCACTCTTAGATAGTAAGATATTATGATCTATATTTCATTCAATTAAGTCGATAATGAAATCCTTGACCAATGTGTATTCATAAGTCAAAGGATTTTTTGACTTATACTGATTTAATAGTAGAGTGAAAGATGTGATCGATATTTGAGATTGACAAACTTTCATATCTCATAATTGATCCAATCATATTGATGAAGGAATTATAGTTTCACGGTAAAAGAACAAGTTTGGTTTTATCATACTACATGACATTTTTCGTCACGTGTATTGCCTTGGCACATTGTTAGATGTCAATCTAGGACGGCAAACGTCAGTATGTGATAAATTAAAATGGTGTTTTAATTTATCGATTTTGATTAGATCAGAATAGTAATTCACGTCGCTAGGCATCGTAATTAGGAACCTGATGGATCACACACAAAAAGAGAATTGGAAAATTGTGTTTTACCAATCAATTAATTTAGCAAGCGTTGGATAAATTAATTAATTGAGTTACTTATTTATTGGCTCAAATTAATCAATTGGATTAATTAATTCATGGATCGGATTGGGTCAAGGTCATTTGAGTTTGTATAAATAGGTAACTAGGGTTTTGGATCTGTAGAGAAAAATAATTATTCTTACTAGTACAAGAAAAATTCTAATTGTCACAATCTGTTTTGTCGTGTGAATTACCATAGGAGGCTGGACAATTGGACAATTGTGGGTGGCAGATTGATATTGCTGGAATAAAAGGAAAAGCAAAAAGTTTGCAGATCTCATCAAATGTAAATTTTCTATCATAATTTCTATCTAAAAATAAATAGATTCTTGGTGAGAATTGAAATTTACTTTCTTTTCTGCTGCGCATGATAAAAAGATTCCCAACATAATTAAAATTAAATGTTTATTTTAAAAATTTTCAACAATTTTTTGAAACAAAGCCAAATAAGAGCTAAAGCGGAATACCACTTCAAGACATTGTAATAGAGAAGTTGGCTAATCAAAATTTTTATTGAACGACGACTATATAATTATTCAGGGTATTTTTCTTAGTTAATTTTCTATTAATTAATTAAGCCAAAGTCTGAATGGAGAACTTTCCTCCAAGTTTCCATTTAGCACACTTTCAATTTTTTTAATTTTTTTTAAATAATTGTTGAGATTAACATTTAAATAGTCATTATCACCTTGAATAGTTGTTAGGAATAACAATTAAAGTAGTCATTAGCACATGCATTCATAGTTAATTCTGACATCCCATGTGACTGGTTTTTGTGTAAATAAAGAGGAAAATAAACTTCAGAAAGTGATTTGTTGAGAAATGTGGATAAGAAAAATTATTCACTTAATCTAACATAGAAGATTGATGAAATATGTTATTAAAAAATTGATTTTAATGAAATGTGTAGTTAAAATTAAGTTTCAATTTTGACCTTAATTTTTTAGTAACTTTTTAAGCTACACCAAACATGTACTAAATTTTAAATTCGTGCTAGATCAATGATGATTTCCATTGATGATATAATTATTCTTAATTTTATTGGAAAGAGATTATTTTTTGTCAAGCAATGTGATTAGCTTAATAATCGGCACATCATTCGGTATAAATACGTACTATGTGACAAAACTGTTCCTCGTTTCAATTAATCAATCCACATATTATGACATGTGACTTGGTTTATTTTTGATTAACTAAATGACAGATTAACTTATTAATTATTTATTAGGACTTCAAGGACTATAGGTGAAAAAGTGATAACCTTTAGGTTTGCCGTGTTTATCACTTCGCAGCGTTGTACTATTTCTTATTTTTTATAATTTCGAAGAATTAAAAAATATTAAGAGAAATTTCTTTATACTTTGGTTATTTTTTTTGCATCAATAATGGATAGAAAAAAAATTTATATAGAAATTTTCAGTAAAAACTTCAATTAACTACAAAAAATTTTGATTCTAAATTTTAAACTCTCACCGTGTTTCATTTTAATAAAATTTATCTTATTTTCACTATAAAAAATATGAGCTCCACCCATCAAAGACTTAGCAATCAAAATAAATTGGTAACTAGAAGACATTTGTACCGACCAAATAGTGGTTGGTAAGATTTTTCGGCGATTAAATTGGGCCAATTTTATTATACCCTTTAGTGACCAAATATTGGTTGCTGATAGTTTGTTTCTAAACATGAAGTGGTCATTAAAGACATTGGTGGGAATTATTGAATGACAATTTTCCTTTGGTTAGTAATTGTTATATAAACAATAACAATTATCCTTCTGTAGGTTTTTCATAAAGTCGCTTTTTTTTTCTTTTTTCTTTTTTTTTTCTCTCGTGCATTTTTTGTTATATTTAAGCCCTTATTTGAACCCAATAACCTAAAAACAAATTTTTTTCAAATAAATTTTTAACCGTACATTTTTCCATAAAATTATTTATATTTAAACTCAGTACTTTTCTTATTTTTAAACTACACATTCTCAAAAAAATAAATAAATAAATAAATAAAATAAAAATCACTGCTATAAATCTCTCTCTCTCTCTCTCAAAATGGGGCTTAAATAGGAACTTAAGTCTAGTGACCAATGTTTGTCTACTGACAAATGTTTGGTTACTCCAATGACCATATTTTGGTCGGTGAAGATACACTATCAATGACAAACGATTGATCCGTGAAGGTATTTGTAATATTATTATTAATATTTTTACCAATTGCTCTTTAGATACAAATATTTGGTCGCTATACCTTCATCGACAAAATATTGTTTGTTAAAAATGGTAACATTTTTTTTTCAGTCATAGTTTAGTCGAAAAGGGTTTAAAATCAACCAATTTTTTACTTCAAATTGAGACCTTTACTGACAGGATTTGATCACCAATTGTTATGGATTCAGTGATCAACTCTGTATTAGGCGCGGAAGACTTTTAAGATGGAATGCTTTTTAGCGGCTAAGTAATACTAATATTTTTGGCCGGACAATTTTTTAATTTTTTTATTTTCTTACATTTCAATTAAATAAACTATTAGATTAATTTATATGAATTTACATTATTTATTAAGCATTTAAATTAATGCAGAATTTATTTCATATGAAGTGAAAAGACTGCAAATAAAATAAAATTACGTAAATATGAAAATTACGTGGACAAACTGAACGAAAATTGGCAGTTCTAAATCCATTTTTGATTTATCGTTGTAAATGCAATAATTCTTATGTCTTTTCTAATTTATAGTCTTTGCATCATCAGGAGCTTAGTTCTTTTACTCGTTGGTGTTTATTATTACTTATTTATAAAAATTTTAGGTTTCAAATCTGGGATTATAATATTTTTCGCTCGAATCTTTAGTCTTTCTTTCTTGGATTAATAAATATCGACGAATCACCCCAGCATCTGCGTGTAACCCTAGGACATTAACAAATGCTAAACAATCTGACAGCATATTTATCCACAACCTAATTAGAATTGAATAATGTTTATAAATAACTTCAATTTATTTATTTATTAATTTATTTTGGATAGGACCTTTTATAGCCCAAGTCATTGGTTCTCTATCTCTGGCAAATAAACAATCTAATAAACTCAATACCTACCTAATCCAATCTTGTTACATTTTTCATTTATTTAATTTTTTTTACAAAATAAATTATAAGACTACTATATGATTCTTTTAGGTGGGGCTCACTTAACTAGGAGCAAGTTGCAAAAAATGAGTAAAACATAATAAATTTAAACTTATAAATTTTTTCAAACATTATTAAATGGACAAATGGTTTCGTTTTCATCGTTTTAATATAATTTATTATTTTGCAACTTATAATGAATTTTTTAATTATTTTGATTTGA